TTTTGTTTCCGACTATTCCCCTTACCTCATTCTGCAATTTGTTCATGACCCTTGGATGCCTTAAAAGCTCAGTCATTGTCCACTCTAAGGCAGTATATGTGGTATCACTGCCAGCAGCAAACATGTCCTAAAAACAATTGATTGGATTAAGATATTTAACCTATTGCAAAATATATAAATATATGTACTACTATATGTTACATCTCTTTCACAAAAACACACGCGCGCGCGCGCGCACACACACACACACATATATATATATATATATAGAGAGAGAGAGAGAGAGAGATAGTTACCAAGATGATACCCTTTATACTAACTCTATCAATAGGAATGCCTGCCACGTTTTCTTTCTGAATTGAAAGCAAAACGTCCAAAAAGTCCTTTTGGTCATCATCTCCACTCTTTGAACTACGGTTCATATGCTCTTGAACTGCTGTATCTATAACGTCATCCAACTGCTTAGCCACCTTGTCTAACTTGGCTCCCAAACCATTGATATGGCTCAACCAAGAAAGCCATGGGATATAGTCCCCAATATTAACAGTTCCCAGTAAGTCAGTGAACTCCCATAAAAGCTTCTGAAACATCCTCCCACTTTCCCCGCCTTCGCCATCACTATACTTCCTCCCTAAAGCCACTCTACACACCACATCATTAGTAAACCTCACAAACATTTCGCTTAAATTCAAAACAGATGATGAGGTTGATGATGATGATGATGAATCATTTATGTTTCTGATCATGGATTTGGTTTCCTCTTCCCTCACAGAACGAAAAGACCGAACCCTTGTGTTGCTCAAAAGATTTGACACACATATACTTCTCACCTGCCTCCAATAATCACCATATGGCGCGGTTGAGACATCTTTGTAGTTGTAGAGAAGCTTCTCAAAGATGGTGGACTTGGGTCGACCAGAAAATGCGAGGTCATGAGTTTTCAAGGTCTCCCGGGCTGCCTCAGCTGAAGAGACAACAAGCACCGGGACACTTCCAAAGTGGAGAAGCATGAGAGGGCCATGGCGTTGGGACAAGGCTTGAATTGAGCGATGAGGGTACGAGCTTAGCTGGTGAAGGTTCCCAATGATAGGGAGCTTTGGTGGAGAAGGTGGTGGTGATGACTTTTGGGTGGTGGTTTTAGTCGAAGAGTACCATGTGTATAGGAGGACGAGGAAAATGGCCAGCAGTGTGAAGGCCAAAGGTTGCAAAAAGGAGGAGCTTTCATTTAGCTCTTGCAATACTTGCAAGGGATTTAGCATCTTCAGAGTTAGTGCTAAGAAAAGAATGTGTTGTGTGTTTAAATAAAGGCAAAGATCATCCTAGTACTATGCAGAACAGAGCCGCACATGTGTTGTGTGCGTCAATCTCTCCACTTTATATATATTAAGTGAAAATGGCAGAATATAGTGCCGGTTTGATCACTTCTCATTAGAAAATATTTTTTGGCATTTTCATGTGATTTTCTTGCTCTACCAGCTCCAGCCAATGTTTATTTAGAAGATAAAACATATGATCATCATCATGCTCATCACAGAGACAGAGAAATGAAACCCTTAAGAAAAAGACAAGCAGAAAATGATTTGAAAACAAAAGATTACTTGTTACCAAAAAAAGAAAACAAAAGATTACTCCAAACAGATTAAGCACGTGTAATGTTGGGTTGGGGTAGGTGCAAGCAATGAAGCTTAATGTTGCTTCTATGTGACTTGCCAAATGTCCAGTAGCATTTTCGGGGAAGTAAAAAAGTCTACATGAAAATAGAAAGGAAAACACCATTTTTCAGTGAATATGTGACAGTCAAGTGTTTTGGACTAAAATTGTGAAAAAACTAGTTAGGAATTGATGTGGTGCAAACTATGGAATATGGAGTCTTGCACCACTAATTTGTATGGGCAATCAGCTGCTTCCCCCCCTGGAAATATATTGTTAAGCATTACAACGAAACATACAATTAAACGTTTTATTAATATGAATGACAACTTACCGTTTCACTGGCATCATTTTCTTCTTCTTTTTCTTCCGCTTCCTCTGTTATTTGTTGTCTTTCTAGTCTTGAACCACTTTGGATCAGTGACCCGTCAGGAGAAATCTTCCACTTGATCAGGCAACCTTCGACATTTAAAGAGTTTAAGGATGGGACTCTGACAGTGCCATTTCCTAATGAGCAAAAGCCTTGCAAACTTGGTAGATAACAAAGGTTCAACTGCTGCAAGCAGTTGAAAGCAATGTCGTAATAATTTCCTGAATCTTGTTCATCTCCGTTGCTTGCCACTATTTCTGTGATGCTTTTACAAAACCAAACTTCCATGGTTTTGAGTTGGTGTAAACATTTAGCTACCGAGTAAGTTACTAAGTATTTCAGTCTCATACAGCCAACCACGTGTAAAGTGGTTAGATTGTGAAAGGATATTGCGGATGAATTTTTTTTTATTTTTTTTTTGGTCGAAGCGGATGAAGTTAGATTCTTTAATCTGCCACAATTGGACACATTAAAAATTTCCAAGTTTGGAAAAATTGATTCGGAGTTATCATTCCCCAGATGCATCACCTCCATTTTTGTGAGAGACAAATTCTTTATGTGTGAGAGGGTATGTAATTTTTGGAGGAAATGAAATGACTGGGGGTGTGCACAAGAAAATGCAATCGCTTTTAGATTGATAAATAACTCTACTGGGAGTGGACCATGCGCTTCATACCAAATGTCAGTAGGAATTGATGTGGTGCCATTTTTCAGTGATTACGTGAACTTCACATAAAAGACGAGGAAAAAAAAAAAAGCTTCCTTTCCTCTTTATACCTTATATATATATAAAGGTAATCCCTTCGTAAAGGTAATCCTTTTTTCTCTACTGACATTCTAGCAACTTCTCAAGTGTTATCATTGCTCAATCCTTCTGGGAAATTCCGTAGTGCAGCCATTAAGGTAAGAGCTAAAGCTGGATTTGCTACCGAGCAATTGTGGGAAAGGCCAGAATTAGAAAAGGGGTGATACATACAAACTATCACCATTCAACATACCATTAGACCATCTCCAACCCTTGGGGTGGAAACTCAAATTTTGAGTTTAGCCTCCAAAAACCATCTCCAACCCATGTATTTTGGGGGGTGGAAATTTGAGAAATCTCAAATCTTGGGTGGAATTCCAGTCCCATTTTTGCCTGGACTGATAATTTTGTGGGCCCAAAATCTGCTTTTATTATTATTTTTTTTTCTGACTGAAGCCCATGTGCTGCACAATGTTTGCTGGGCCC